GCCCACACCCCGCCCCCACAACCACCCGCCTACGAACTCCCAGCCCGAGCCAGGCTCCAGCCGATCTCCCGGTCCCGTCCCGCGCACCGGATCCGTATTTGATGTCATGCGAGTGCAGCCGCACCCTGTGCTGCGTGTTGAGCAGCTTCAGCACCGACCCGCAGGTCACCAGCCCCGTGCCGGTCTTGGTGGCGCCACCGCCCGGCACCAAGAGCGCCAGCACCAGCCCCAGCAGCGCCGGCCGGGGAGCCCTGCCGCTGCCCGCGCTCCACATCGCACCGGACCGGCTCCAGCTGCTCGGGCCCCGGGCCGCTTCCGTCCCCGCGGCGAGCCAATCAGGCTCTGACAACGCCGGCTCGCAGCAGCCAGTAGTCTGCCCGCGCGGCGCTCCGCCTGCACCACCATTGGGTCGGCTTGGCGGGGACCCGCCCACGGCTTTCGGAAGCGGCGGGTGGGCGGGGACCGGAGACCCGAGAGGGCTTCTGATTGACCCACGATTTCCAGGACTCGCCAATGGGGGTCGAGGGAGAGCGGTCGCAGCGCCAAGCCCCGGCGCGCTCAAAGCAGCACCTGCAGGTGAGGGCGTCTCGCTGCGCTGCTGGACGCCGGCCCAGGGGCCCCGCGGGAACCTGTTCACGAAGTTTCTTGATCCTGGATGGACCGCTGGGCCCTCAATTATGAATCCTTCTCCCTGAACCCTGGGCCCGCAGCTGCAGGGTCTTGAGGTTGCTGGATCACTAGATTTTGTGGTCACAAAGTCGACGGATCCCAGAGTTACCGAATCGCCTGTTCCTTCAGTCCCTGGACCCCAGGATTAATTAATCACCCAGTCATTTGTTCACAGCCCCTCTCTCTGACACTGAGTCACCTCAGTCCCAAGACCCTGGGTTTCTGAATTCCCTTGGCACTCAGACGTTTGACTCCTGCCACGGCTGAATTTCATGGTCACTGGGTCATCCGGCAGCAGGGGGCAACAAGGAGCTGTGGTGTCTGATCATCGCAGGTTCTCACCAGAAAGCCCCAAAGCTGTCTTAGGAAACCATAGCGCAGGGCGACCAAAGGACTGTGGGAACCAAGCCTGGGTGACTGTGTTTTCCAGGCCTCCTGGCCATGAGCAGTTTGACGAAGCTCAGAGTGTTGTCATCTCAGTCTTCAAGGGAGGAAAACTTACACCGTTTACTTATTTTTTTTTTCTTTTTTTTTTTTTTTGAGACAGAGTCTCACTCTTTTGCCCCGGCTAGAGTGAGTGCCGTGGCGTCAGCCTAGCTCACAGAACCTCAAACTCCTGGGCTCAAGCGATCCTCCTGCCTCAGCCTCCCGAGTAACTGGGACTACAGGCATGGCCACCATGCCCGGCTAATTTTTTCTATATATTTTTAGTTGTCCAATTAATTTCTTTCTATTTTTAGTAGAGA